TCCTGAGATTATTCCAGTGAAATCTTGAAAGAAGGAATCCCCCCAGAGAAAGAGGCTGTGAGCCCCGGGAGTCGTGTGGGGCTGGAGAGGAGCCCTGGGCTGGCTTCTGTGCAGTCGCACACAGAATCCAATTTGCAAGGCCCTAACGACGTTACATAATGACATTACGTAAGCCCATTACATAAATCAAAGGCCCGACTCTGACCACGAAGGTTGCCAGCCCCCAGGCCAATCTAATCCCATGCCCCAAGGCTCCATCCTTTGTCCGGCAGTCAGTTACAGCTGCTTCCTAAGCCTTCAGTCAACCTGACAGGAATCCCAGCAACTGTCTGTCCTTAGGAACCTTTCCCCTCCTCTGCCAGGTTTCCAGGGGCCACTCCCCAGATCACCAATAGGAAAGCATAGCACACGGTGAATTGTGGTCGCCATCTTTGTTCCAGATCTTTCTAATTCCCTTTCTACATACAGATCTGTCTAGGATTAATCAGTGAGCAGAGTGGTTTATTCTCTCAAACAGACAGTCTGTTTTGCTGAGGCTCTTGAAGTTCCTCATCATTTCAGAGGAGTTTCCCAGTCCCTGGGGCAGAAAAACCCTTCAATACCAGAGGTCACATGTCCTCTGAGCGGGTCATCCCAGCCCGTTTTCCCACTGGCCCTTCTAGACATGATGAAGAGCTTGCCCAGCCGTCATTCAAGCTTCCACCACATCCTCATCTCCCCTCAAACCCCCAGAGATGACACCAACCCTACCTACCTCCCATCTTCTCTTACAACTCTTCACAGAGACCTAGAACATGAGCCCATGTGCTGGTGCGTGCTCTCTCTCTCTCTCTCTCTCAACACAGCAAAATGTTCATGGTTGGCAGAAAAAGCTCAGGTCTCATACTGACATGTCAATGCTATTTTATGCTTTCTGAAGACATTGTACATTTGACAGTCACTTGAAGCAACATTTTAGTTGCAGCTTTTGCAGTTTGGAATGATACAATGACATTCCAAAGCCCACTTTTCTTTCTTTCTTTTTGTCAGTCATGGAGTTTGAACTCTGGGCCTGGGCACTGTCCCTCAGCTCTTCAGCTCAAGGCTAGCATTCTACCACATGAGACACAGTGCCACTTCCGGCTTTTACTGCTTATGTGGTGCTAAGGAATCGAACCCAGGGCCTCATGCGTGCAAGGCAAGCACTCTACCACTGAGCCACCTTCCCAGTCTAAGCCCATTTTTCAACACCTCACAGCGAAGGTGCATGAGCTTGTGCAGGGGAAGCTTCTCCTGTTCCAGGTCCACTCCCACCGGCAACTGATCTGAGCTGGCACAGCCCCTGCTCCTCCCAGCACCCAGAGCCTTCATCTCACTTCTCCAACTCTGATGTGGTATCTTCTCTTCCAAGGAGACGGGCTGAAGTCTTAACCCCATCTCTACCTGCCAACGCTACCTTACCTGGAAACAGTGTTTTTGCAAAAGATAATCAGTGAAGTAGACATCATTAGTTTGGGCTCTGATTCTGTAGGACTAATGTCCAGGCCTCGCAGTCCTAAGAAAAGACAGCCACTGGGCACTGGATTCTCACACCTGTAATCCTGTCTACTCAAGAAGCTGAGATCTGAGGATCACGGTTTGAAGCCAAGCTGGGTAGAAAGCCTTCCATGAGACTCTTATCTCCAACTAACCAGCAAACAGGTGGAACTGAAGCTGGGTCTCAGTTGTAGAGCACCAGCTTTAAGTGAAAAAGTCAAGGGTGAGTGCAAGGTTCCTCAGTTCAGCCCCAGTACTGGTGCATACATGCACACATGTGTACACACACACACACTTACAGAATGGCAGCACCTGTAGCAGTCATGTGCGGATAGAGGCATGCCTTCTACTCCAGTGAATGAACCTACAGGAAAAGGAGCAGCTAGCAGGTGTGGACCTGGCCCCACTAGAGCCTAATGATTCTGAGTTCTGTCCCCAGCATGATGACAGGAGATTCTGTTATTTTGAGCCATCCACAGTCTGAGGTACTCTGTTAAGAAGTAATGAATAGAACCCTTGTAGTGAATGGGCCATGAGACACTGCCCGCCTCCCTTCTTTGGGACAGGGACAAGGAAGGGGCAAGCCAGGACATGACAGGGCAGGATGATTCCAGGCCATTCTCAGAATGCTGAGGTTTGGCCCTTGGCCTGGATGATGCCACCTGTCTGCACAGTCCCTTCCTGGACAGACTCTTTAGTCTCCTCATGGACAGGTGGCATGTTAGAAATATCTCTGTATTATACACTGGGCATACATTATATACTGGACATACACTAGTTGTCCTATACCTGTTAACTATAGTAAGTCTTTCTTTGAAACAAGACTGGAAGAAAGTAAATACATTTTAATTACTAAAACATTTCTCTATAAAGAGCAAATTTGTACCATAGTTCTAAGAGCAGTTTTGCATAGTTATAGGGCTCTGAAGTAAAAAAAAAAAAAAAGTTTATTTTTTTATTTTTTGGGTCCGGTCGTGGGGCCTGAACTCTGGGCCTGGGCACTGTCCTTCAGCTCTTCAGCTCAAGGCTAGTGCTCTACCACTTGAGCCACAGAGCCACTTCCGGCTTTTTTCTTATGTGGTGCTGAGGAATCAAACCCAGGGCCTCAGGCATGCAAGGCAAGCGCTCTACCACTGAGCCACCTTCCCAGCCCCCAAAAATAGGTTCATAACTGGAGTGGCAGATTAATTTCAGTGAGACCATCACTGACTTCAAGTATAAAACTCCTCCTAGGAACAACAGCCTTTGAAAAGCCCAGATTTTCATTTGCATTTTTTGAGCATACATACTCTGCTTTAATTATCACCACCCTTGATACTCAATAACTTTTGACAATTTGCAAACAAGATCAAAGGACAAAGATGGGTCCCCTTAAGAGAACCTTCTTGAGAATATGAAATCCTGCGTGATCTAAAAGCTGCTCTTACACAAGAATTTCCAGAATGTTTAAAGAAGGGAAAATATTGGTAGAACTGACATAAACATTGTCTTCATGTGTCTGAGTTGAAAAATTCCGGGAAATCATTTTACAGCCACTCACAAGCTGAGTACCTAAGATGAGGTAGGCAGGCAGAGACAAGTCAAGCTGGCTGTAGCAGCATGGGAAATGGTTACGGTCTCTGATGCCTGGGTCTGAACTGGCCAGCTTTTGCCCAGCTCCAGTTACTAGTTGCCCTATCTTGCTAGCTTTCCCAAGAGGAGCTCAAGTCGAGTGGTATGTGAAATGTCCACGTATTTGAGATATTACCAGGAGGGTTTCAGGGCCACACGGAACCAGGCGTCCTCTACTTACGCTCAGCCAGTAAACATGTGAAACCCACCTGCCTTCATGGGCTCCGGAGTCTCACAATGAAAGAGGCCTCCATCCAACACTGCTCCTTACCTCAAACCAGGTCTCCTTTTCTTCTGCCGGCTTTGGACTTTGCTTTTGTGACTCATCTGTGAAGTATGAATTCACCCAACCACCACCCACTCCCAGGGCTGCTCTTCCTGACCAAGTGATTGCCTGGACGTACAAGCTACCAGATTTGGGTGTCCTGGACTCACGATTCCTTTATGGCCTTCAACTGCTTTTTCCATCTTGCCTCCGCTCCTCTGTTACCTTCTCCTGGGGTCTTCTTTTCCATTCTCTGGCATTCTCCCATCCCTAGCCTTCTTCGCATCCCCTAATGTTGGTGCACCAACGGGTTCTTAAGGATTCAGACCCACCCCATAGCTTCTGAAATGCAATCAACCAGAGACCTCCATGCCTCCAGCCAACCCTCTCCCATTCTCTTCACCTATATGGTCTGCTCCTTTTGCAACATACTAGCTTAGCAGGTTCAAGATTTCGGACTTCCTCTTCCTCCCCCACCCCCTTGTTAGCCCAATGAGCACCCTTCTCATGGCTTAGCACACTCCTTCCCCTTTCCACAGCTTAGCATGCTTCTTTATTAGGCAACACGATGCCCCATTTAGTAAAGGCAGTAAATAATCAACCTCCAACCCCTTCTCTGGGGCAGCCACCACCATAGAAGGCAGCAAGAGCCCCTTATCTACTATTGGGCATCAGCCATAAATCCTAGTCCGCCATGATGAAGCCCCTGGCCCACACGTCCACACCTGGGTCTCTGCCTCCTGGCCCCTCCAAGGTTATATAGGTCACCTCAGACAAGAGCCGTAGCTTCTTCTTACTTCTCCCTTGTGAGGAGTCTTGCAGGCCCCCTTCCCAGCAATCAACCTTTCTTGGTTCTCTGTACCTGGATGTCTGCGTGGTTTTCTGGCAGTCTTTCTCTTAACACCCCCCATGGTCATCTAGTCAGAAACCAGGCTGACGCCACTCATTCCCCCACTGCTTCTCAAGTCCTACAGCATCTACCAAGTGTCTCTTGATCCCATCACTTCCTCCTCTAATATGACCACGGCTGAAGGTCACCCTGACTTGGCACACAGATGACTTGAGGTGCTGACCATCAATCACTCTTACTCCCTCGGGCCAGATGTCCTTCTACAATGCGGCAGTGGAGAATGCTTGCCATGTTCCTTACCTGCCACCACTGGATACAGTCTAAACTCTTGTGTGTGCACCAATTGTCCTTCCAGCTGTCAGGCCCCATCCCTGCTTCTCATCTGTGCACCGAGTGCTCCAGTGTGCTGGCCTTTGGGCCACGCGTGCACTCTCTTCTCTCACCCTGTCCACCTCTGGTCCACACCTGGCCACGTCCCACACCTCATCCTTCCTTCCCGCTTCCTCCAGGCCTCAGCCTGCCAACATCCCTGGGCTGCTCCTAAATGTTTGGATGTCGGTTCTTGGCATTTCAGAAGCCCTTGCTTACGTGCTCTGTGATGGTACTGCTCAGGTGGCTCTGAAGCTCTTCAAGGGAGGGGTCCTCGCTCCTCTTTCTTCCTGTTTTTTCCTATGCCTAGCACAGAGCCCGGCACACAGTAGGCAAATGACAAACAGTTGTGATTTTTGATGCTAGTGATGTAGAATGGGAAAGCCCTTGTTAACATCAACTCTCATTTTAATGAGGAAACAGAGGTCCAGACAGACAGATGCTGGGCTCCAAGACCCAGAGGAAGCGGCAAAACCAAGACTTCCCCGTCCAAGCCCGGGATGTCCCCACTACCCTGCCTCTCCCCTCACAGCCAGCTAGTCCCAGCTCGCATGCCTGGCCTGCAGAGCCTCTGCATGGAGCATCCCTCATCAGAAAAGCATCTGGCAGCAAGTACGTGGAAGCAACCTTCTTCTGAGGTTCAGGTGCTACTGCTACTTCCTTCCCCACCTCCAGACGGGTAGCAGGTGAGGCTGCTGTTCCAAGCTCCCTGAGGGAGCTGTGCACAGGCAGAAGCCCGGGCTCTGGGAGCCTCCTTACCTCATGGGGAAGACCAAAGGTGCTGGCCCAGCTCTGCCTGCCTTCCTTCCCTTCAGCCCTAGTCTTCAACACCTGGCCCAAGGGGAACGTTGACAAATGTCTCTTCCTTGTCAAACATCTGAGGTGGAAGTTGGAAGGATAGGGGGTTGGCAATGGAACTCGGTACATTTTGATTTGGAAGAGCCAATTATCAGCAAGTGATACCGAAGGGCTCTTCCCAGGGCCGTTGATGGGGCAGGGGGTTGAACAGTCAGGCTGATTGGCTCTGGGCTAACATCCCTGGAACTTTGGATAGGATCTTAATGGCCCTTTAGGTACACAAGATAACGGCCGTTCTTTCCCTCGGCGGCCCCGCTGGACCCAGGAAATGCGTGCTTCCTGATGGATCTATGGATTCTCTCTGCGCCATCGCTGTGGGCGCATGGCCAGCACTGCGCCGGGCACACCTTTCCTTTCCGGACGCTGGGGGTGGGGTAGGGGACACAAGTCACACCTATCCAGGTTCTTTCTTTGTACCAACAGCCCAGGAGGCATCTGGCCGGGGTGATCCCTGGAATCTGTGAGCCAAGCAAGGATCCCGGTGAGGACAAACGGATGGAGCTCAGAAGAAGAGGGGGGGCGGGGCCACCTCGGTGGGGTTGGGCCAGGCCGGGGCCGAGAGGTCGGCGGAGGCCGTGGGGAGGGCGGCCTGGCTGTGGATGCGCTGGTGCCGCACGAGGTGGGTCTTGCGGCTGAAGCTCTTGCTGCACTGCGGGCAGGAGAAGGGGCGGGAGCCGGTGTGGATGGCCTGGTGGCGGACCAGGTTGGTTTTGGAGCTGAAGCTGCGGGCGCAGACGGCGCAGGCGTGGGGGCGGCTGCCCGTGTGCACGGCCTGGTGGCGGCCCAGGTGGGACTTGCGGCTGAAGCGGCGGCCGCACTGCGCGCAGGCAAAAGGCCGGGCCCCGCTGTGGGCCCTGGCGTGGGCGACCAGGTTGGGTCTGGAGCCGAAGCGACGGCCGCACTGCGCGCAGGCGAAGGGCCGCTCCCCGGTGTGCACGCGCCGGTGCCGCGACAGGTGCTGGCCGTGGGCGAAGCCGCGACCGCACTCGGGGCAGAAGAAGGCTCGCTCGCCGCCGGCGCCCGGGGGGTCCGGCGGGCTGGATCCGGGGCCGCAGGCCAAGGGCTCGGCGGCGGCGGCGGCGGCGGGGTCCACGTCGGCGGCGCACTCGTCGCATCCAAACGGAGCCCCCTCGCTGCGGTGCAGACGCTGGTGCGTGGCCAGGTTCTTCTTCCAGCCGAAGCCCAGGCCGCAGTGGGGGCAGGAGAAAGGCTTGGGGCCGGGGGGCGAGGCGGAGGCCGGCAGGGCCGGGGGCGAGGCGGGCGCCTCGGCGGGGGAGGGCAGGGCCCGGCTGGCGGCCTCGTGCACGCGCTGGTGCCGCACCAGGTGCTGCTTGTGCGTGAAGCTGCGCGCGCACTGGGCGCACTGGTAGGGCCGCTCGCCGGTGTGGATGCGCTGGTGGCGGATCAGGTGCGTCTTCTTGCGGAAGCGCTTCTCGCACTCGGCGCAGGGGAAGGGCCGCTCGCCGGTGTGCGTCTTCTGGTGCGAGCCCAGGTGGATCTTCTGGCTGAAGCGCTTGCCGCACTCGGCGCACGGGTAGGGCCGCTCGCCGGTGTGCGTGCGCAGGTGGCGGGTCAGGTGGGCCTTCTTGCTGAAGCGCTTGTCGCACTCGGAGCACGGGAAGGGCCGCTCGCCGCGGTGGCTGCGCTGGTGCAGCAGCATGTGCGCGCGCTGCGAGAAGCTGCGGCCGCAGTCCGGGCAGGCGCAGGGGCCCTCGCCGCGGTGCAGCCGCTGGTGCAGCCGCAGCGTCAGCTGGTCCCGGAAACGCCGCTCGCACTCCCCGCAGCCGTACGGCTTCTCGGGGAGGGCGATCGGGGTCCACCCGGTCAGCGCCAGCCCGCCCAGAGTCCCCGGAGCCCCCGGCTCCAGTTTATACGCGGCCGCCAGGTGCCCCAGATCAGGGGCGGCAAAGGGGCCGGGGAGTAAGGAGAGATGCTGCGGCCACTCGACCTCCGCCTCCTGATCCTCCTCCTCCACCTTCACCTTCCGAATCATCCACTCGTCCCCTGCAGCGTCAGACACAGGGATTAAGCCCAGATGCTGCCCCTTTCCGCTGCCACCCGGAGCCCCACTCCCCGGAGCCCCGCGGACCCTGGCTTCCGCCCTCTGCGGAGCTCACCAAACGTTCCTGGAATGACCAACGCTGAGACTCCTTCCCACCCCCGCGCTCCCCGCAGCCCAGAAGCGGGAGGGCACTGCCCCGCCCACGAGCTCTTCTCTGTATTCCCCTTCCTCCTGCTCTCCAGTATGCACCCCGGACCTTGGGCTTCCACCCTGGACCTTGGGCTCCCCCCCCCCGTCCCCGTCCCCTCCCTCCCCCGCCCTTCCCCCCCCCCGTGTTCTTTTCCCTGCCTAAGATCGATTGGCAGGCTCCTTTCCGAACCAGCTTCTATATCCAGAAGAGCAGGGACCCCCAATTCCCAGTGTCTGCAAATTGGCAGCAGGTCAGCAAGTCTTAACACCTGACCTCCCTGCAGTGTACAAGGGGAGGCCCTTAGCCTCGGGGCTGGAGCCCTCTCTGGCTGGATAGGACCAGCCTTAGCACCTTTGCTACTTTGGCTCTCTACTTCCCAGCGCACCACGACACCTTGTACTCCAGTGGTTTCAAATGCACATGCTAACCCTACCCTGTCCCACAGGCTCACAGGTAAACCAGAAGATAGAGAAGAGGCAGTTTACAGAATGTGGGAAACTAGTTTAGCCTCTGGAGAGAGCCTCAGCCAAGGGCAGGTTCCAATTCCTAGGAACCTGTCCTAAGAGGTATCTGTAGGGCAGGACCTATGAATCTTTAATTTATTTTTGTGCTTGATGCTAGGGCTTGAATTCGGGGCCTGGGTACTGTCCTTTAATCTTTTCGCTTGAGGCTGACACTCTACCACTTGACCCACAGCCACTCTTCTGGATTTTTGCTGGTTAATTGGAGATAAAAGTCTCACAGAGTTTCCTACCCAGGCTGGCTTTGAACTGTGATCCACAGATCTTAGGCTCCTGAGTAGCTAGGATTATAGGTGTGAGCCACAGCACCTGGCTATCTATTTAAAGCTCCCAAATGGAATCTTGTTTGGGAACCCTCCAACCAGATACCTGAGCTCCTGTCAGACCTGGCAAGTCTGTCACAGTCTGGAGTCTTGATTTTAGTACACATAAATGGCTGTGTTACATCTACTCCCAGTTTCTTCTCTCAGTTCACTGGCTCCAAACCACTATTAGTTTATCCTAATCTGCTGTTGCCTCTATTTTCACTGTCCCATTCTTCTTACTCCAGCACTGCCAATGGCTTCTAGCTGCACCTGCAGCTCATCCAAACCTTCCAACCCTTTTCCAAGAGGTGAGACAGTCACTTCTGTAACACTCTCCCTCAGTCTCCTCATGTGACCCGTCATCTTTCCTGCCTCCAAGTCCATCCTCGCCCGCATCCGTCCACTACAGAGCTAAAGTCTACGCCTGCCCCAGAATGCGGTAGCTAGCAACAGTTTTGACAGATCCAGCTAATAAGGATCTCTTGTCATTAACTCCTGTAACACTCACTAGGACTCCTTCTATACTGATATGTGACTTTTATCTTGTCCGTTCAGTTATCTGTCTTGGTTCCCATTTGTATCATCCTCTTGATTTTAGATTCTGGGAGACAGACATGTTCTGACTTTGTGTCTAAGAACAAAATGTCTTTAAATAAAAATGAGCACCACCACCATTTACGGAGGGCCAACTAAAAAATGTCTTTAAATAAAAATGAGCACCACCACCATTTACGGAGGGCCAACTATAGATGAAGCACTGTGCACACACTGTCAAAACACTTCACAAGAATTATGAAGGCATAACCAAAGCTCCTGGACAGAAGGCAGTCACTCAGCTGGTAAATACGGAGCAGAGACATAACCTGGGCCTGTGCCCATCTCTTCACCACACTCAACACAGCCTATGCATAGTAGGCACTAAATAAATCCTGTTAGGTAAGTGATGCCAGCCAGGTGAGAGGTGGCAGTGGAAGGAAAGGATGGCTAGGAGTATATGGTGACAGAGAGATGCACTGACTGAAACAGACTGGGGGCACTGGTGTCCCCTGGGTCAGCGGAAGTTTAGGAGAGGAAGCATGCGGAAAAGGCTGAGCAGCACATTTCATCTTTGTGGTCATTATAATTTGGGTGATTGACAGCATGTATGTGACCTGGGGGGGGGGGATGAAAAGGCGAAGTTTCGAACTTCTGGGACAGGGGGAGTTTGAGGTGAGCATGCTTCTCTTTGGTGACCAACCTCTCCTCTCCCACCATCTACACACACGTAATTATTGTCGGATGCGGATGCGAGATTGCAGAATTGCAATTGGATGCGGATGCGAGATTGGGCCTGGACTCATCCTGACTGGAAGGGCCTGCATCCGTTGTTTCCAGGAGATCTGCTGCATCAGATAGCAGCACTGGAGCAACAGGAAGACTCACCAGAGCAGGAGCCCACGGGCTCGGTCTTCTGTGGGACACAGGCCTGGCCACCTCTGCAGGGGCCTTCAGCTTGTTCCATCTGGGCCTCTTCCTCCGGGCCAGCAGCCTTGAGCCCTGGTAGAGAAGAGATACCTCAAGTGTCCAGGAGGCGTCGCAGATGGAAGACAGTCACCACTAGTGCCAGAACGCAGGGGCAACTGGAGCCCCAATCCCAGCCCTGCCCACCAGACTCTGCCACCTCACACCTGCAGGAGCGGAATAAGAGCTGCCAGCAACACCCTCAGACTCCTTCAGGGAGGGCAGCCGCTAAAGGTGCACGGGTTTCAGGAGTCACAACTGTGAGGAGTTTCTGGAACGTGTGTGTGAGGTGGTAGAGCGAGGAAGGGCCTCTGACTAGAGGCTCTTAGGAACTCAGGAACTGGGAGCCTTCCCAGTTCCAAGGCAAATCATGGCTGAGGGTTAGGATGGCAAAAGCCTAGGCTGGCTCTGTCTTGACTGCCCTGCCTGAAGAGCCAGTTTCCTTCAGCCTCTGAGCTGCCTCCTCATTTCTTCCAATCCAGCTCCTATTCTCACTACCCAACTGCATGGGAAAACGTGTGTGTGTGTGTGTGTGTGTCCCTGCCTTCAGCCATCCAGGTCCCTCTCCATGTGCTTTATAAAATGTATTATGTTTTCATTTATGGTTGACTCACTAAGCTCTTCCAAATATCTAGAAGGGCAGACAGCACACAGTAGGTGGTCAATAAATACTTGATGGAAGAAGGAAGACTGGTCCCTGAGTCACCCTCCATAGTGACTTACCTGAGCACGTGCCCAGTACACTGTCTTCCCGAGAGGACACCTTCCCCTGGGCATTGTGGGACCCGTCCCTGGGCTCACTTTGTGGGGCCATCTCAGACTGTCCCACGGAGAATCCTGTTATTGGCAGAAGGATGGGTCTAAAGCATCCAGGACAGAACTGGTGACCAGAGTAAGTGTGTGTGTGTGGGGGTGTCCTTTCCTGCTAGCACTGACAAGGAACAAAGAAACAGCCCAGGCTCTCCAGCAACCTGAACAGATGTCAATCTCAGCCTCTCTGTTAAGTCCAGAAGGACCAAGGACCAAAGAAGAGATTCAATCAATTTAAACCCCAGTGTCCTGTGAGTCCCCCCTGCATTCACAGCCTAGCACAACCCCTGTGGCAAGCATTCAAAGAGCCCAGGGCCCTCCACAGCCCCAGCACCGCTGGGCTGCAGCTTCTGGGGATGGCACTATTGTCTAAGTTGTAGATGCCCTCAGAGCCCACCTACCCCCAAATTCCTTCTGTTCTCCCACTTACCCAGGGAGCTCAGAGCCTCCAAAGTCTCTCTCATGACAGCCAGGTATAGCTCCCCTTGGGGAATGAGGCCACAGACCCTAAGAAGAAAAGACAGTCTTGTTCAGATTCTTCTGACACTTTCCCACCAGGCTCCACCCCTCAGCTCCATCTCTATCAGCTCTCCTCCGAGTTCCACAGGTGACACTATGGTGCAGATAAGGGGGATGGATAAGAAACCGCTCTCCGAGGGGTCCAAGGAGGTCTGGAAACCATTTCTGCTAGCTCTAGAAATCTGCCTGCCCTGCCCAGCTGGGAGGTCTCAGAGCCAGCCCTGGCCTGCCAGTTAGCAGTCCTGTCCCTTAGGCCCTGGGGGGGGGGTGCATCCCAGAGAGGGTGGGAGACCAGGGTGGGCAGCGGGGAACTTCATGTCCTGGGTGCTCCAGCTGTCACTGTAGGAGCTGGTGAGCCAGTCCCCACGCAGAGCTGTCACTGTAGGTCCTGGGAAGAAGGCCCTCTGAGAAGGGTCTGCACTCAAGGTAGTAAATGGCTCCTGGCTTTCCTTCCCTAAACCTAGGGCAAAATCACCCCCCTCCTCGTGGTGCTTCCCAAGGCTGGTACACACACACACACACACACACTCCCTGCTATGCCCCCTTTCCTGCTCCATTCCTCCTCCTGTGAGCTCCCTGCCCCTCCCCAACAGCCTCCCCTCCCCCTCCCAAGCAGCCTTTCCCTCGGCCTCCCCTCTCCCCGCTCCCCGCTCCCTCCCCTCTCGGCTCCCTCTGGTTTCCGCCCTCTCTCCCCACCAACTCCGGCTGCCTACTGGGACTCCTCCCCCTGCCCCGCCCCTCCGGCTCCTTCCCTACCCCCAAGGGCAAGACCAACCCCTCTCCTCCCCCCCCTGCCTCCACTGACCCTCAGCTCCAGGCAGCTCTCCCCC